GAGGAGGAAATGGCAACCCACTCCAGCATTCTTGCTTGGGAAATCCCGTGGACAGAGGAGCTTGGTGGGCGACAGCCTGTGGGGTTGCAAAGAGTTGGACACGATGTAGTGACTAAACAGCAACAACATACGTATAAAATACTTAGAGTGGTAAGGATGGCCCTTCAGACCCTTAAAATAGCTCATCAGAAAGATCGCTAATCTTTCCAGATTAAAACAACCCTCAAAGAATGTTTATACTAAAACCATTTTTGAACAGCAATTTCCTTTAAGCATCATTATGACTGTAATAATCTCTGCATGTATTTCTACTCTAATCCTTCTATTAGACCTAAGCTTCTCAAGAGACAATGGATGCCTAGTTTCTGCTTTGTTTCTCAAACACTCCTTGCGACAGAAAAACTTGATGGATATGGTAGAGGTTGAACAAATATGTTCCCAGGATTCTGTGACGCCAATTCCATTGTTTAAGAAAACTGGAACCAAGCATTCAATATCTCTAGAAACTAGCTCCATAGGTAGATAAGGCTTTGAGGCATTGCCATTTATCCTGCTGGTTGGACATATTTCAAATCTAACCAATGCTTCCCTCTTTCACTACCTTCCTATGAACATCAACATCTTGTGATGATAATGATGAAAACTAAAGGTGGAAATCATCACAAAAGGGATGAATTAAATGGTTAAGTTTGATGCTCTAAAGCTATGATGTTGTTTGATCCTTAAGTAAGTCAACTGGAATAAATAAGACGTTTTTTGCAAAGATTGTACAACTGAAGCAAAAGTTTTGTTATAATTAACAAAACCCATGTCCACACTGCAAGACTAAGAAATCTTGTAGAAGACGGGTGTGACTCCATTGGAAGTATTGAGATTTGATTCTTTTCTGAGTCCCTAACCTGGGGGACTCAGGTGGGGGAGGGGGAGGCCTGATGCTGATATTTTCATTGCTATTTTGTCTCTGGGTAATATGAGAACGTATAACAAAGGATTCAAGTGTAGGATGTTTATAGTGCTTTAGCAAAATAATAATAGTGGCCTGATGGTTCAGACAGTAAAGAATCTGCCTTCGATGCAGGAGTCCTGGGTTCCATCCTTGGGTGGGGAAGATCCCCTGGAGGAGGGCATGGCAGCCCACTCCAGTCCTCTTGCCTGGAGAATCCCATGGACAGAGGAGCCTGGCAGGCTAGAGTCCATGGGGTTACAAAGAATTGGATACAACTGAGTGATTAACACTTTCACTTTTCACTTTCAAGAGTGTCAACATTAAAGGCTCAACTTCTAATATTACGTATTCTATTGGGAGTGCTGGTGGAGTGATGTAGGATATTCCCCAAATTTTAATTTCCTTGGAAATAAGTGTTAGGCAGAAATGGAGTACAGTTCTAAATTGGTAAGAATAGATGCAATTCTAAACTGATACATGCAGATGTTGAAAAGGAAGAACTACAGAAATTTTAGGTCAAATCACTCAGTAATTAAAAACTGACTTAAGAGCCATTCTGAATTGGTCGTAATTTATAGTCCATGGTTTTATTACAGCTGCTGCTGCTGCTGCTAAGTAGCTTCAGTCGTGTCCAACTCTGTGCGACCCTGTAGATGGCAGCCCACCAGGCTCTGCCATCCCTGGGATTCGCCAGGGAAGAACACTGGAGTGGGGTGCCATATCCTTCTCCAATGCATGAAAGTGAAAAGTGAAAGTGAAGTCGCTCAGTCGTGTCCAACTCTTCGTGACCCCATGGACTGCAGCCTACCAGGCTCCTCCATTCATGGGATTTTCCAGGCAAGAGTACTGGAGTGGGGTGCCACTGCCTTCTCCATTTATTACAGCAAACCAGGGCAAATGTTCCTTTTCACACACCATTTCATGTTTCTAGAATTTGCATGACCTATGTTAGACTGCCTTTTTTTTTTTGGAAATTGATTTTTAGTTTTGCAGATGATGTTATTTAGTTCATATTAGGCACTGGGTTTAATAATAAAAGTGCTAATTCAAGAGTTTATTTTTCGAAAGCGTATTTGTCGATGCTTATTCCTCAATCTTACCTAGTCAATGTGTGGATTTTGCACACAGTTATTTTAAATGTCCATCCTTTCCAGAAAGACAATAAAGTACTTCTTGTATGAAAATCTTTTACTTTGAGCGTTTGAAATATAGTGCCCATGAGCTGAGCCAGCGTAAACTCCTAAACTCAGAAGCAAGAGTACGGTTTCAGGAGGAAGTCTATCAAGTCCAGTTCATCAGCTACACGCAATAATACAGAAAGCTTGAAATGCTTAAAGAAATAAAAGAATTCTATAAAATGGCATTCTACTAGTCGATCGATATCCAGGCTTATTGAATTGCTGCCATTAGTCACAAAAACAAGTATCAGACTGTGTCCATTGTGTGTTCGTGATGTTCATGAAAGAATTCCAAGGTTTCTATAGAGTTTAGGATATGAGATATGCCATTCTCTATTTTTAGATGAACATTTCTGATAATTTGCTAAAAAGGAAGAGCTATGTGTATCTTAGGTGTCTGGGGAGTGGATGCCTCCAGAATGATCATGTTACTAAAGATAAACAGTTGCATGAGTATTGCTTTCTCTCAAGCATGATCTATTGCTTGGTTACTTACCAGAAAGACTTAACCTGAGTGGGAAAATGTCAGTGGGCATCTTTTCATAAAGAGGATAGATGCTATTTCACTAAGATATAGGTATCGAATCTTACTGAGACAACCCACAATTTTTTTTCCCTCAATTCAATCTAACAAATACCATGTGATATGCCAGTTTCTATGCAAGATAAGACAGCATGTGCAAAAATGAAAAGCCTTAAGGAGTTTGGAATCTAATTGAGATGGCAAATACATACAATTAACTATAACACAGAGCATATTATGATACCAGTATGTTTACATACAGTCTTAAGAAGCAGAGAGATGAAAAGGCTTGTTTGGAAAAGTAGATTATAAAAGCCATCACTCAAGCAATGGCATGTGAACTGGATCTGACCGGTGGAGACGGGAGAAAAAGGGCAGTTCTGATGAGGGGCATTGGGGGGTCAAGTCCTGGAGAGCAGATGGCTTTGGGGGGTAAGGGTGGGGAGATTCCAGTGTTCAGGAAAGGGTCCAAAGCAGTGTAGTAAGAGGTGCATTTGAAGAGCAAGGGTGGGTCCTAAGAGACTCAAGCTCAAGATTTTGGGCTCTGTTCTAAATTTAGGCGATAATCGTAAAGTATTTTGAGCAAGAGAATGACCTGCCCATCTGCTGAGTCTCTCCAGTAGTGTCTGACTCTTTGTGACCCTATGGACTGTAGCCCGCCAGCAGATTCTCCAAGCAGGAATACTGGAGTGGGTTACCAGGCTCTTCTCTGGGGGGATGGTCCCCAACCAGGGATGGAGCCCAACATCCCTTGGCTCCTGAGGTTCCTGCGTTGGCAGGTGGAGGCTTTATGGCTGAGCGCCCAGGGAAGGAAGAGAATGACGGGTCAATTTGGTCTCATTTCCATACAAAGGATGAGGAGGAGGTGAATGGAGTCAGAGCCTCGAGGTCGTCGGTCTTTAGTCTTATCATCAATCATCAGTCTTATCATTTGTGTGATAAGCAAGTGCTTAGCACAATTTTATGCTGAAGCCTAAACAGCATCAGTAATGCTGGGAAGTATATTATTTCTTAGCCCCCCCAGAACAAACAGCGTGACTTAAATAACAACTGTATTTTCTCAGAGTCCTGAAATGCCGGCCAGAGACTTGTTCCCTCTGAAACCTTCAGGAGAGCATCCTTCCTGGTTTCTTTCAGCTGCTGCAAGTGCCAAGCGCTCCTTGGCTGACAGCAGCAAGCCTCTGGTCTCTGCCTCTGTGTTCGCTTGGTCGACTCCCCTGTGTCTGTCTTCTTATAGAAGTTGCAGTCAAGTCACATTAGCGCGTGCTCTGATGGCCTCAGCTTACATGGGTCACATCTGAGACGACCTGCTTGCAAATCAGGTCATGTTCACAGGTGGGAGGTTAGCACTTCAACCTGCCAGTCTGGGAGGGGCGCACTTCAACCCCTCCCAGGAATGAAGAGCGGCGCCTAATGGGAAAGGCAGCAGGAAGCACTGCGACCGCTGAGACTCGGGAGAGGGTAGGATGAGATGGCTGGGAGGGGAAGAAGACGCGAAAGCTCAAGAGTCGTGGGGCTCCACTGGCAGTCCAGAAGCTGAAACTTTTTCCAGTGCAGAGGGTGTGGGTTTGATCCCGGATGGGGGAGTTAAAATCCCACATGCCTCATGGCCAAAAGATCAGGATGAAAAGAAGAAGTATTATTGTAACAAATTCAATAATGTCTTTAAAAATGGTCCACACTAAAAAAAAAAAAAACTTAAAAAGCTGAAGAGTTAGGCAACTGGGAGGGGAAGGAAAGGAAAAGTAGGTGATATCAGCTACAGGAGTTCAGCATCTGTGAAGTTCTGACCGCATTTGTGAGCTGACTCCTGATTCTGTCATTCAACAATGGTTGGGGAACCCCCCAGGAATTTGACTTGCGTGTGATAGGGGCCACAAGCATTTGTGACTACAGCCTGAGTGTCTCTATCGCATTTTGTTGTTTGTCTTACTATCGCATCGGTGGTAGTGTGGTGGTTTTATTGCTAGGTCATGTCTAACTCTTGCGACCCCATGGACTGTAGCCCACCAGGCTCTTCTGTCCATGGGATTTCCCAGGCAAGAAGATTGGAGTGGGTTGCCATTTCCTTCTCCATAGCATGGGTAATGATGATTAAAGCAGTTATCAGATGGAAATCCTCCCAAAGGGAAGACATTATTAGCAAGCAGGACAAAGAATAAATAAATAAAAATGTCATGGAGATATTTATAAGTGCAAAGGCACCTCCATTCTCTTACACATTCTGACAAGCCCTTGGCATGAAAGCTAATTCTGAGATGAATGCAATTGTATCTGGCAGGGTTGACCAAACTTCTAGGCAGATCAGAAGAAGTCCTCTCTTTGTAGTTGGTAGCGGGGGAGCAGGAGGAGGATGAGGTGAGTAGGGGCAAAGTGGTGAGCCGGGGCAGGGGACAGAGAATGTGACAGGGGATGGGGATTTAAAACACGGCCCAAAACAGCTCCAGGTGTGAGACTGCATGCAGTTAGCAGCCCGCTGGATCTTACATCTCATGCAAAGGCAGTGGGCTCCATGAAGTCTTTTGTGAACAGTACTGATTTCACTAGCGAAAAATTATGCCAAGATACATGCCATCCTCTTCATGGGATTTTCCCCTCTCGTCTAAAAGCTGAGACACTTTCTTTGATATGTGATTGATACAATTAGTGCTACAACTGTAGCGGTTGTTCCTTCAGTGGTACGGCCACTGTGTCCTCGTTCACATCGTGATTTTGATGCTTTTCTGCAGTGAACTCTCTTAGTTTCTTAGGTCTGATGTAGCAAAGTACCACAAACTGGGTGGCTTAGCACAACAGGAGCATATTTTCTCATCGTTCTGGAGGCTAGAAGTCTGACCTCAAGGTGTCGGCAGGGTCTCACTCCCTTTGAAGGAGGAGAGGTTGGAGGTTTTTTCCTTGCCTCGTCCCAGCTTCCAGTGGTTGCTGTCAATTTCGGTGTTCCTCGGCTTGCAGACATGTCGCTCCAAGCCCATGGCATGCAGCCCTCTATGAGCTGAAGCCTCTAGTGCCTGGCTAATGGCTGGTAAGTCAGTGGCATCACCTCCATGAATGCATCAATAATACAATGTAATTGGAACACATCAAAACAAATGGCCATCTGCAGTGGGCTCCATTCACCGAGTTCTGGAAGTTAATGATGCCTTATTGAGAAAGCGTTGCATGGAGTTCTGTGGCATATGCCTGGTGGTGGTATATAATTTCATAGTCCACAAACCATAATGATTCAATTTTCTCAGAGGTGTATTTATCTATGTGTGGTATTTATCCCTTTCTACTGTGTTCTGATTTGATAATTATTTAATGTTTACATGAGACAGAAATTGAGCAAGAGGGGAAAGATTAAGCAATGTGGAGTGTTGGAGAAATTTTGTTTCCCATAGTTTTATTGAGAAGTAATTGACCTGCAGCACTGTATAGGTTTCAGGTGGACAGTATGATAGTTTGATTTAAGTATGTTAAGAAGTAATCACTGCAATATGTCCAGCTAACATCCATCATCTCATAGATACAATATAAAAAAAAAGAAAAAAAAAGATTTCTCCTTGTGGTGAGAAGTCTCAGGGTTTAAACTCTCAGTGATTCTCTCGGGTATTGTTCAGTTCAGTTCGGTTCAGTCGTGTCTGACTCTTTGCAACCCCATGAACTGCAGCACTCCAGGCCTCCCTGTCCATCACCAACTCCCGGAGTCCACCCAAACCCATGTCCACTGAGTCGGTGATGCCATCCAGCCATCTCATCCTCTGTCGTCCCTTTCTCCTCCTGCCCCCAATCCCTCCCAGCATCAGGGTCTTTTCAAATGACTCAACTCTTTGCATGAGGTGGCCAAAGTACTGGAGTTTCAGCTTCAGCATCAGTCCTTCCAATGAACACCCAGGACTGATCTCCTTTAGGATGGACTGGTTGGATCTCCTTGCAGTCCAAGGGACTCTCAAGAGTCTTCTCCAACACCACAGTTCAAAAGCATCAATTCTTTGGCGTTCAGCCCTCTTTATAGTCCAACTCTCACATCCATACATGACCACTGGAAAAACCACAGCCTTGACTAGATGGACCGTGTATTGTTAAGCAGTGTTAATTGCGCATCACATCCCTATATAACTGGAAGTTTGTACCTTTATGTCCACATTTGTCCAATTCCCTTTTCCCTGCAGACCCTGCCTCTGGCAACCACAAGTCTGCTCTTTTTTTCTGAGACTGTTTGCTTTTGTTTTAGATTCCACATATAAAGAGATCATGCCGTATCTATCTTTCTCTGAAGCCCTTACTTCACTTAGCACAATGCTTTCAAGGTACTCAAGGTACTTGTGCTCAAATGATAGGATTTCCTCTTTTTCTATGGCTAAATATTATTCCATTATACATAGATATCACAACTCCTCCATCCGTCTTCTAGATACATTTATAATGACATGGACTCTGAAAATCTGGTGCAAACTTGCTTTTTAAAGCAGACTTTCTGTCTGCATCTTTAATTGGTCAATTCATTTATTCAGACAGGTGATAAACATGGCTAAGCATCCTCTTACCGGGACTTGTGCTAGCATCACACAGGATACAAAGGCGAATTTTTTAAATCTTGCCATTTAGGACTTTAGAGTCTAATTGACCAGATGAGTCATATAAACTCTGATCCGCATGTCTGCTAGTGAGGGTCCACACACAGAGGCTGAAATTAACCAAAACTGTATAATTTAGTTGAGGCTACCTGGGAACTATAAAAAAGACGAGGAACATATCATGGGTGTTCAGAGAAAGGGAGAAATCTTGTAAAAGATTTGCCTAAATTGGGAAATGGGGGTTTGTCCCCATCCTCCTCTCCCCTCGGCCTTCTTCCCCCATCTCTTTCCCCCTCGCTCCCTCTCCATTTCCCACTATTTTATCTCTTTCTCTATCACAATCTCTGTTCCTTCCATTCTTCTTGACATGTTCACCTCCCTTTGTTTAAATGATAAAATGTTTGCACTCCACATATCTGTCCACTACTGTTTAGCTTCCTTTCCAGAATCTCCTTTCTCTGCTGCCTGTGATTCTCAGAGTTTTGTCAAAGGTCCCTGTTTCTCCTGATACCACACAGGCTTCAAAGGCTAAATCCTGTGACTTCATTTATACGACCTTCTGGAAAAGGCAAATCTATGGAACAGGAAACAGATCAGTGTTTACCAAGAGCAGAGGCTGGGGAGAGGGGTAAATGAGAGAACTTCTAGATCTTAACTGTGGGGATGGTGATGCTACAGTGTACTTGCAAAAATTCTTACAGCTGTATACCTAGAGAGGGCAAACTTTGCTGTTACATGTATTTTACCTGAACATAACTGACTTGCCCTCTAAATCCTCGCTTTGCATTTTTTTTTAAATTTTTTTCATTTATTTTTATTAGTTGGAGGCTAATTACTTTACATCATTGCAGTGGTTTTTGTCATACATTGAAATGAATTAGCCATGGATTTACATGTATTCCCCATCCCGGTCCCCCCTCCCACCTCCCTCTCCACCCGATCCCTCTGGGTCTTCCCAGTGCACCAGGTCCGAGCACTTGTCTCATGCACCCAACCTGGGCTGGTGATCTGTTTCACCCTAGATAATCTCGCTTTGCATTGAATGGAAATGCTCAAACAATTTTAGTTTCCTTTTCCCACCACCCTTCTTAGTTTTGGATTTAGTAGCTTCTGATTCAAATTAGAAAATTATTTTGAGATTATGGACCAAGAAATTATAATTACACAAGCATATGTTATGTGAGTGTGTTTGTGTGTGTTTGGGTGGGGGTGTTCTAATTTGTAACCCGAAATGGAAATCAGTGAAAAAAGCAATAAAGAAGCCCTTTTGAAATGTCTCAGACTTGAGTATTGAAGTATCAATCAAAGGATGGGAGTACAATCTAGAAAATTATATTGTGTGCTGTTTTGTACCAGTTGCTGTTCTAGAACAATAAGGCAATAAAAATGTAGCTACCTTTATTTCAGTTGTAAAAAGCAAGTGAGTTTCCATGCCGGGTTAATTAATAGTTAAAGGGCTAAAGTCATATTTTCCCCAACTAGTGGTGCTGAGAAAGACTCCAGCTTACAAAGGGAATTTAATGTTTATAAATAAAGCCCAACACTTGTTGCTTTGCAGGAAGTCAGTTAGAGAGATGGTCCTTTTCAGTTCTTTGGATGTAACCTGGGTATGTGCTCATAGCGAGAGAGGCTTTTCAGAACTGAACTGTAAGGGTTCAAGTCCGTAGTACACACTTCGTGTTTTAAAGAAGCCACGGAAGTCTTCTTCTCCCTCCCGAGGAGACCTTCCTCACTCCTAAGACGCGTGGTAGAGCAGAAGAAGGAGTTTCTGATTACAATTCCAGAGATGCAGTTTCCAGTCCTAGCTCCGCCATGAAACGAACTCTGACTCTGGGAAGGAGGTGGGGAGAGCATCCCAGCCTTAGTGTAGTTTTGGGTTTGGTTGGTCTGTGAACGAGCAGGAAGTGGGACTATGTGACCTCTGAGGGTGTCTCCTTAAATTACAGCTTCACCAGGGTTCTGTATCTTGTTATACTGGGAATGTCCACAACCTCAGCTTCTCTCCTTCAATCCCATGCTTTTGACAATTTCAGACTTTTCCACCAGGATGGCTTGCATTTATCCCTAATACCTTCCTGGACCCTGAATTTCGTGTTGTTTCCTGACCTTCCGTGGCTCCGAAGATGTAGGTAGCTGCCGTGTGTTGCAATTAAATAACTCAAATGTATTAGCAAGCATGTGAAAGTGTTAGCTGCACAGTCGTGTCTGACTCTTTGCGACCCCACGGACTGTAGCCCACCAGACTTCTCTGTCCATGGAATTCTCCGGGCAAGAATACTGTAGTGGGTTGCCATTTCCTTCTCCAGGGGATTTTCCCGACCCAGGGATCAAACCCTGGTCTCCCACATTGCAGGCAGATTCTTTACTGTCTGAGCCATCAGCGATGCCGTTAGCAAGCATGGAGGCTTTCTAAAGCTTATATTTGGCTCGTCCCAAAGAGTGTGAGTCAGCATTTCAGCACACTAGCTTTTGGAATTCACTGAGATCTTAAGATTTAGAATGCATGGTTTTAAAGGACAAAAATGCTTTCTAATGTAACACTAAGCAGTATATATTTTTATATATTTTCTGAATCAGGGTGTCATTTGACTGAGGAAGCTTTAGCTGGCAGGATGAGTTTTGGGAAGAAGGACCTGGTTTATGGATGAGTTTGTGGGGAATGAAGCAGAAAAGAAGTAGGTATCTCTGACCTAGAGCCCTGGAATCATTACTTCACAAAATATTCGTCGTTATAGGAAATGTCAGATTTGAGGAAATAGGAGGTATCTTATCTCGCATTCAATTTCCGGGCAGACTAAATTT